GAACAAATGGCATCTTGAGGGCAAAGCCTTTTCTTTTCTCAAATTATAAAACATAATAAAAATAAAAACCCTCCTTTAATAGAATGCCTCTGTTATGTACTGAAGTTCTCACCCTGGGCCCGCAGGGCGATACTGTAGATAGTTTTCATTCAGGTCCACATATGCAAATAAGGGATTGAAAGTGACATTCAGTGATTGGATAGTTACAGAAAGTTGCTACAGTTACTTTGTACTGGAGCTCTATATAAGCAGGCTGGCTGAACCCTTCAGTTCAGTTCTGTTCTGGCCTGTGAATAAACAAGAGCTGTTTGAAGAATCGCTGTGTCATCTGACATGTTCACCCACAACTTAACAGCCTCCTTTTTCTTTTCTTTCCATGCCAGGATGCATCACATTGGCTCTCATCACATGTTGGAAGACACACCCAAAACAGAGAAGAGGGAAGTTTATTTGATTGTATAAAAACGAGGGAGCAAATGGCTTGGCTCTCCCATAACGTCAGAAAAATTCCCATCAATTTTAGCCACGTTTTAACTTGGAGAAACCTCAGTCCTAACACTTTGTCCCACTACTTTTCTTTTCTTTTTTGCTTTTAGTCATGTTCTTGCTTGGAGCAGTGTAGCTCATGCAGCACTTACAATGCTTCTTTCACGTCAAGAAAGATGCTACCGCAGGCAAGGGGGTTCTGGCACTTAGCGATAACTTGCCTTCCTAACCTACTTTTGTCACTTCCCACTGAATCAATTCCATGTTGCCCACATCTGTGTTGAGTCACAATGCCCAGAAAGGAATGCAGATCTTAAAAATGTTTTATTGAATAGTCATAATAATTATTTATTATTTATTTGCCACCCATCTAACTTGGTTCCCCAGCCACTCAGGGCGACTTCCAACAAATTAAAACATTAAACACCGTAGAACATCAAACATTAAAAATTTCCCTAAACAGGGCTGCCTTCAAATGTCTTCTAAAAGTCAAATAGTTGTTTCTCAGCTGCTGCATTCTGTATTAGTTGTCGTTTCTGGGTCACCTTCAAAGTGGCCCCACGTAGAGTGCATTGCAGTAGTCCAAGCAGGAGATAACCAGAGCATGCACCACTTTGGCAAGACAGTCAACGGGTAGGTAGGGTCTCATCCTGCATACCAGATGGAGCTGGGAGACAGCTGCCCTGGACACAGAATTGACCTGCACCTCCATGGACAGCTGTGAATCCAAAATGACTCCCAGGCTGCGCACCTGGTCCTTCAGGGGCACAGTTACCCCATTCAGGGTCTCAGCCAGTGTACCAGATGAAGCTGGTAGACAATTTATGTTATTTCACAATTTATGTGAGGGTTATGACTTATTTCACAGATGTCTGAGACATGCATAGGACCATAGGGAGCTGCCTTAGTCTGAGTATATACAAGGCAGACCTTGTTACCATGAGCTTTCTAAAGGTTGCCTCATAAGATAGGCAGATGCTGCCACATAGATGGCGTAAACATGTGACTGAGAAGCCAGCTCTCTTCAGATCCTGTGGAAGAGATTTCACTGCTCTAAGCCTTTCATTTGCCACAGCTCCCCGGAGCAATGAAAAGCTTCCTTGCCTTCTGCCTTTTACAACCTGCTACTATTTACTGCAGGGTCACTGGAAGCAGCTTGAAAGCAATTGTGCTTCCCTCAGCAAGGTCTTAAAAAGCTAGGCTATTATACAAATGCTCCGTCAACAAAAGGCTTTCAGGGGAAAATGGACTAAAAAAAAAAAGGCAACTGGTTAGAATTGTGGTATATTTCAGTCAGACCTCACACCCTGCCTGGTATTGATTGGCCAATGGCTGTCAAAAATTGCATTGCTAAACTTCAAAGCAAAAGCAAGATGAATGTATTAGTATAAAGTCAGAATAAAGTAGACACTTCAATACAAAGCAAGTTGCATGTATTAGTATAAAGTAGACACTTCCTGATTATCTGTATTAATTACCTTCTAAATGACTGTGCAAGAAGCTACAGTTAGAACTGGATATGGAACAACTGATTGGTTCAAAATTGGGAAAGGAGTACGGCAAGGCTGTATATTGTCTCCCTGCTTATTTAACTTATATGCAGAATTCATCATGTGAAAGGCTGGGCTGGATGAATCCCAAGCCGGAATTAAGATTGCCGGAAGAAATATCAACAACCTCAGATATGCAGATGACACAACCTTGATGGCAGAAAGTGAGGAGGAATTAAAGAACCTTTTAATGAGGGTGAAAGAGGAGAGCGCAAAATATGGTCTGAAGCTCAACATCAAAAAAACGAAGATCATGGCCACTGGTCCCATCACCTCCTGGCAAATAGAAGGGGAATAAATGGAGGCAGTGAGAGATTTTACCTTCTTGGGCTCCATGATCACTGCAGATGGTGACAGCAGTCACGAAATTAAAAGACGCCTGCTCCTTGGGAGAAAGGCGATGGCAAACCTAGACAGCATCTTAAAAAGCAGAGACATCACCTTGCCAACAAAGGTCCGTATAGTTAAAGCCATGGTTTTCCCAGTAGTGATGTATGGAAGTGAGAGCTGGACCATAAAGAAGGCTGATCGCCGAAGAATTGATGCTTTTGAATTCTGGTGCTGGAGGAGACTCTTGAGAGTCCCATGGACTGCAAGAAGATCAAACACATCCATTCTTAAGGAAATTAGCCCTGAGTGCTCACTGAAAGGACAGATTGTGAAGCTGAGGCTCCAATACTTTGGCCACCTCATGAGAAGAGAAGACTCCCTGGAAAAGACCCTGATGTTGGGAAAGATGGAGGGCACAAGGAGAAGGGGACGACAGAGGACGAGATGGTTGGACAGTGTTCTCGAAGCTACAAACATGAGTCTGACCAAACTGCGGGAGACAGTGGAAGACAGAAGTGCCTGGCGTGCTCTGATCCATGGGGTCATGAAGAGTCAGACACGACTAAACGACTAAACAACAACAACAACAACAACAACAACAAATGACTGTGAGGAATATTGGTAAAATAATGCATAACATCTGCCTGCTGGAGGAATCCTTTCAAGGCAAGTTGGCACCATGGGCATCCACATGAATTTTTTTATGGGAGAAGACAAAATTATTTATGCAAGCAAGCAAGCAAGCAAGCAAGCAGACAGGCAAACAGTGTCTGCACATTTTGCCCCACATCTCAGGTTCTACAAATGCCAGAAACTTACTCTTAAAAATAAAAATAAAAAGTTAGGAATCTGGGGATCATAGCTTATTGTGGGGGCAGGTGCCCCACCCCCACTGTGAAGGCTCCTGAATGGCACTCATTTACATTTTTCTGAAAGTATGGGCCAATTCACATATGCATATACATCAGTTGATGTGGCTGTGACAGCTGAATGTGTGTACCACTGCAGTGAACTACTGTATTTGGGATTGCATGAAGTGGTACAACAATCTCACCGGCAGTTTTAGGTCTTTGATCTTATGCAAACGCACATCACCATTGTGATGCTTCAGACTTCAAGTGGTGAGCATGTATATAGCCACCCTTTGTGACTTCCGACATCTTAAGAAAGTGAAACTGGATCAATCAGCAAGAAGACAGTGTCGTGGCCACAAGGGAGGTATAACTGATGCTGCTTGCTGTCTGTCTATCATCTGTTGTTGCAACCTCTGAGTTGTTTGAGGAAGTCCATGTATGAAATATCCAGCAATATAAAAGTAAGTCTATGAGTGAAAGCCATAATACTGATGCCATTGGACTTGGGTGATGCTGTGGTCTAAACCACTGAGCATTGGGTCTGCTGATTGTAAGGTCAGCAGTTTGAATCCATGTAATGGGTTGAGCTCCTGTCACTTTGTCCCAGCTCCTGCCAACCTAGCAGTTTGACAGCATACCAGTGCAAGTAGATAAATAGGTACCACTGCGGCGGTAAGGTAAATGGCGTTTCCGTGCTCTCTGGCACTCATCATGGTGTTCCGTGCAGCAGAAGTGGTTTAGTCATGCTGGCCACATGACCCGGAAAAACTGTCTGCAGACAAACGCTGGCCCCCTTGGCCTGAAAACAGGGGTGAGCACTGCATCCCATTGTCAAATTTGATTGGACTTAACCGTGTCCTTTACCTTTACCTTTGCTGGTGCCATTGTCATATTGTTAGCCATTTATTCTGATAGAGCAAGCTATATTGGCTCATGGACACTTCCACTTGTACTGTGCCTAGAAAGAAAAGGTCTGAGCAATTTTCCATCTCTCTCATGCTTTCTAGGTTTCTAAGAATTCATGAGGAATGCCGGCTATGAGACTGCTAATGATCAACGAAATAACAATTAAAATGCTATAATATAAAGCACTAAACCATCCATAATAAATGCAGCACAGCGCTCTGATGAAAAGAAATAAGAATCCTCAAGCCTTTGGACTATTGGAAGCTTCAGAGAACAAGTAGAAAGATCTAGTCGAGGTTTGCCTGGAGCAGATTGTTGGATGCATTCCAGATGGCTGCAATCCACTGCAGAATTTTGGTGCAGCAGAAACCCATTGGTCTCATGCCCCCTTTTAAATACGTAGCTGTTCTTGAACCAAATATATAGGAACAAATTTCCATACCAAATTTCCATTCTAGATATTCCCTTCTACTTTTGCTGTATTTTATTTGGCACCTGTTATTGTACTTTATAAGGGACATGGGTGGTGCTGTGGGTTAAACCACAGAGCCTAGGACTTGCCAATCAGAAGGTCGGTGGTTCGAATCCCCGCAAAGGGGTGAGCTCCCATTACTTGGTCCCTGCTCCTGCCCACCTAGCAGTTCGAAAGCACGTCAAAGTGCCAGTAGATAAATAGGTACCACTCTGGCGGGAAGGTAAACAGCGTTTCCATGCGCTGCTCTGGTTCACCAGAAGCGGCTTAGTAATGCTGGCCACATGACCCGGAAGCTGCACGCCAGCTCCCTCGGCCAATAAAGCGAGATGAGCGCCACAACCCCAGAGTCGGTCACGACTGGACCTAATGGTCAGGGGTCCCTTTACCTTTACCTTATTGTACTTTATAGCTCAGTCAGTAGAGCATGAGACTCTTCATCCCAGGGTCATGGGTCTGAACCCCAGTTGGGGGAAAAAATATTCCTGCATTGCAGGGGGTTGGACTAGATGACCCTTGTGGTCTCGTCCAACGCTCCAATTCTATGATTCTATGTTTTCTTATATATAAATCTAACTAAATAACTAATGAAATAATTCTTCTCATCTTGTGGCATTGCCACACCCTTAGAAAAAACATACCTGAAGAGGGGAAAATATAAATCGTTGGCATGCAACCTAGAAAATGGCACTGCATGTCAGGAGAAAGCTTGAGCACAGAAAGGATCTCAAGGAGGGCAAAACTGGCTGACTTCTAATGGCGAGAAACAAAAATCGGATTAATGGTGCTACTAAAAGCGCCAAGGATTTGCAATCTCCGGGGACACAAAAACGGAGAGAGAATGTGAAAGATGAAAGGAAATGATAGCACTTGCTGATGCAAAGCCCCAGGACAAATAGGAGTGACGAGGGTCTTAATGAATTTATACGAGTGGAATCTGGGTCAGCCTACAAACTAGTTATTATCCAGTCCCTTACTTTTTTTTAAAGGGGCTTAGGAGCATATAAACAATTGTAATCGAAATAATGATTTGGTTGCAATGAAATGTTTCCATTGTACTCCTAGCCAGGGTCTGGAGATTTTTTTTTAAGGGGTAGTGTCAGGGAACAGCCATGAGCTCAGAGGCGAGAGGTGGAAGGGCAGTTGTGTTACAGGGAGCCTCCGAAGATCTTGCGAAGCAGTTCCTCCCCTGGCGAGGAAGAAAGCCCCACCTCCAGTGGGGAGGGGGTGCAGGGACAAGTGGAGAGCCTCAACACCGAGCCTGAGCAAAGCGGAGGGGAGGCAAGTCCCCCTTTGCCAGCGCCCACTCTGCGCAGTAGGTTTGGGCGCAGAGAGGGGAGGAGAAGGATGGGGGTCACACGACTGTTATGCTGGGGGAGGTATAAGGACCGCCCACTCCCAGATTCTGCTAGCGACTGAGCAGACATGGACTTGCGATGCTCTGCACTGTAAATAGTTTGTACAGATAATAAATCCTGGAAAAGACAGGTTGGAGTCTTGCCTGTTTGCTCTTGAGCAACCACACCAGCACTTGACAGCTAGGATGTGGGGGAATGTTGGAAATGTGCACATAAATACTTCAGAACACCCCATCTCTAGCCAGTTCCCCCCCCCCCCAGCTGGAACTCACCAGAACTCAGTTGTGGCACCTCTCTGTTGGGTGCCATTGTCATTATAGGAGAACAAGGGAGGCATTTATGGTGAGTTACGGCACCTCCTTTTCTAGAAGAATTGCACGGCCTCCAGCATGTCTAGAAGTTACAGCCTGGATCCAAGTAACCTGGTGCACTAACAAAAACCAGAGCAAGCACTCCAGTTAGCCTAGTAGGGCTTCCTCCCTCTCCTCCTCCTCCTCCTATCATCCCCACATTTCTGCTCTAGGGGGTCATGAGAGTCCCCAGAGCAGCACGTGGAGGAAGGAGATGGGAGAGGAATAATTTCACCTGGCAAGTAGAATTGCTTGCACTGACATAAGGAGCAGAAGACTGCAATATGAAGTCCTCCAAGCGTCTCTACAATGAACAAGACAGAAAATACCCTTTCTCATAAAGCCCCCATTTTATATAGAGCAAGTGTAGGGAACATCTGACCCAGGGGCCAAATGTGGACCCCCAGCCACTCTGGGTGGCTTTCAACAGAACATTAAAAACAGAATAAAACTTCAAGCATTAAAAACTTAATGGCTTTTAGTCAAACACAACAAATGATTGATTGAATATCTTCAACAAGGCCACACCCCTTTTTTCCAGGCCACACCTCTTGTTTGTCTGGAAGGAGGACAGAGAGAAGTGTGTGGATGTGTGCAGAAGCTAGGCTACTGTACAAAGATGAACATTTACATGTGTCGCTCAGTTTCCATTCTGGCCTCTGTAAAGTTGCCCAAAGCGAATGTATCCCTGAGGCTGAAAAGGGTTTCTCGCCCCTAAAATAGCAAAACATCCACACGCCTCATCCTCTCCTGACCCAATATGCATTTGTTTTGTACATATGTCCAGAAACATCAGAAAAATAGATGAGGAAGTTGATTTTGCCTTTCCCCCCGCCTTGACAGCAGGAATGGGATGGCTGGGGTTGCAAAAACCCTGCAAACCAGCAAGGCTGATTTTTCCAGCTGGTTGTCATCTCTAATCTAGAGATGTTCTGCTCTCTGTCAATCACAAAGATTGATGTTGCACATTCAGGTTCCTGTTCGTGCCTGAAGAAGGCTCCCGGGGGCCTGAACACACAGAGAGATAACATCCACATCTTCATCTCAGCCTCAGATAGGCTATGAGGTTCCCGACACCTTGGCTAAGTAAAATAAATGGACATTTTGTATCCTGGATTGTTACTCCATTTGTTTTTAGGGATTTTTTTTTTGAGGGGCGGGGGTGTTAGGGTGAGAGAAAAAGCGAGAGAAATTCAAATGAGATTGCAGACACACCACATGGCTTCTCCCAAAGACTCCTGGGATATGTACAGTGGTACCTTGGTTCTCAAACGCCTTGGTACTCAAACAACTTGGAACCCAAACACTGCAAACCTGGAAGTACCATAAGTGTTCCAGTTTGCGAACTTTTTTCAGAAGCCAAATGTGTTCCATTTTGAGAGTTATGCTTCCGATTTGAGTGACACACTTCCATTTTGAGAGCCGCACCTCCGTTTTGCGTGTTACGCTGTCTGTTTTTGCTATCTTTTTTGCGTTTTTGCAGATCTTGTTTGTTTCGTTTTCGTGACTGTGTGGAATCCAGTTCAGCCATTTTGCATTACTTTCTATGGGAAAGCACGCCTTGGTTTTGGAACGGAATAATTTGACAACTGAGGTACCACTGTGGTTTGTTTAGGATGATGTGAATTGTAGCTCTGCGAGGGGGTAAACAGCAGTTCCCAAGAATCTTTGAGGAAGTCATGTGCTTTAGGTTGCAGACAGCAATCTCTCCCAGCCCTGCTTGGAGATGACAAAATGGAACCTGGAACCTTCTGCATTCATAGCTTGTACTCTGTATCTAGCACAGAGCATGCAATACCACGTATGACTGCTTATACAGTGGTGCCTCGCAAGACGAAATTAATTCGTTCCGCAAGTCTCTTCGTCTTGCGAGTTTTTCGTCTTGCGATGCACGGTTTCCCATAGGAATGCATTGAAAATCAATTAATGCGTTCCTAGGAAACCGCCTTCAGACTCAGGTCCGGGGACAGTCTGTCCCCGGACCTCTTCTGAAGGCTGGGGGGCAAGGGCTTTCTTCCCACCCCCAGCATTTTAAAACCCCGGGACAGCGGAGGACTTCTCCGCTGTCCGGGCGATCTTAAAATGCTGGCGGGCGGCATTTTAAAATCACCCGGGACAGCGGAGGACTTCTCCGCTGTCCGGGGCAATTTAAAGCCCCTGGGAAGGCAGGCAGGGGGACAAAGACTTTGCCCCCGCCAGCCTTCAGAAGAGGTCCTGGACCTCTTCTGAAGGCGGGCGGGGGCGAAAGTCTTGCTCCCCCGCCTTCAAAAGCCCTCCGGGACAGGCAGGCAGGGGAGCAAAGACTTTCGCCCCCGCCCGCCTTCAGAAGGTCTTCCCTCCCCCCGCCCGGCTCGGAGCACCGTCCCGAGCCGGGCGGCGGCGGGAGGTCTTCCCTCCCCGCCCGGCTCGGAGCACCGTTCCGAGCCGGGCGGCGGCGGGAGGTGTTCCCTCCCCCCGCCCGGCTCGGAGCACCGCTCCGGGCCGGGCGGCGGGGAGGTCTTCCTCCCCACCGCCCGGCTCGGAGCACCGCTCCGAGCCGGGCAGAGGCGGGAGGTCTTCCTCCCCCCGCCCGGCTCGGAGCACCGCTCCGGCCGGGCGGCGGCGGCAGGTGTTCCCTCCCCCGCCCGGCTCGGAGCACCGTTCCGAGCCGGGCGGCGGCGGCAGGTGTTCCCTCCCCCCGCCCGGCCGGAGGAGCCTTCCGAGCCTGGCGGCGGCGGGAGGAGGTGTCCCCGCCCCGCCGCCAGGCTTCGGAGGAGGGCCGAGGACAGTGGGGAAGACGCGCTGCGCTTCCCCGCTGTCCCTGAGATTTCCTATGGGCTGTCGTCTTGCGAAGCAAGCCCATAGGGAAATTCGTTTTGCGAAGCGCCTCCAAAACGGAAAACCCTTTCGTCTAGCGGGTTTTCCGTCTTGCGAGGCGTTCGTCTTGCGGGGTACCACTGTAGTCCCAGCCTGGACCCAAGAGAAGGAATGGAATCTAGTTCCCTGCCTCTTCTTAAATTGATTTATGCATGTAGATTCTACTTTCCTGCCCCCCCCTCCTCTGTGGATTTTCCTCTCCTGCATTCTGCAAAATACTAATAAATGACACTAATGACAGAGGATATGCTTGTAATGAGATAATTGCATCGCAAGGCACACATAAGGGGCACGCAAAGTCCTTCCAATTTCCCAAAGGTTAGGGACGGTTCTTGATAATCAGATGCACCACAGACGCGCTAATTGGCTTTATTGAAACAGCATATTGCAAGACAAATTGTATTTTCAAGGGACTAAATGAAGATGAAATTAGAAACGCTAAAAACTCGCTTTGGATCACACATGACTCATGCTCCCAATGACTTCAGAATCGCCACCGGCCAGTTATAAATACTGCCTTAATTCTCACGTGGTAGGATAAAGCCAATTAATAAGCGTGAAGAAAGCATTCCTTTTTATAGCATTCACAGAAATGGGAAATGACAGACCTTGAAGCGCAGGGCAAATGAGACCACAGTTCTCAGAATGTGAGGCCAGCATCCTTCAGGGGAGCTACAAGGTCTTTGCTGGCTCCTCGCAATCTTTTGATTGGGCAAAAAGATGGAATGCTCTCCTGTCTGTTCCTTTCCATCAGTGCTACAGTCACCTTTGCAAATTGAGCATCCTCACAAAATGTCTCATGGGTGTGTAAGGGCAATATAGTCCAAAGACCCTAGAGACCACTGCGCATAGGGATGTTCTCCCCTGAAGGACAGAATCCATGTCAAGGTGAGTGGATCACCTACTTTGGGA